CTGGGGTCTCTGAGATCACTTGCACTGATGACATAGTTCTACCTACCAGAGAAGGGTGTGGGGGTGGGGTGGGGCTGTGGGTGCCTGGGTCCTCCCATGCCTTCTAGGGCGGCTTCCCCTTCCTGGGAGACTGGAGCCACCCTCTCAGTTTCTGATTGGAGAGAGGCTGCCCTGGTTAGAGACAGGGGCTGGGAGGGAAGTTATGGGTTGGCAGACTTATCTGTTTCTGAGCAGAAGGGCACAGAGAACTGGGGGGATGGGGGGCTTGTTCTGGCTCTGCCTTAGTGGTGTGTTCCTGGCATCTGTTACTGAGTTCTCAGAAGGTGGGCAGGGCTGGGAATGGAAGCTCTAAACCCATGACCAAGAGGGCTTGTCGTGGGCTGGGCAGGAACTTTCTTGGCTCTGGGGTTTCCTGGTCTGTCAAATGACCAGATGATTTCTAAAGTCCATTCCAACTCTGACGTTTCAGTTTTTAGATCCTCTCGGCGTCATCCTGTTAACCCCAGGGGCCCAGCGGACAGAAGGATAAGTTGATTCTGGGACCCTTGGTCTGTGTGCGTCAGGCCTGGTGGCATGCCCAGACACTCCTGGGTGGATCTGTTTGCTCCTCTGCCCTCCTGGCTATGTGCTGGGTTTGGAGGGTGAAGTGTTTTCTTGGAAGGGAGGGGAGAGCTGGGGGAGTTGGGGTAGGTAAAGGAAAAGGGAGGGAAGGAAGCTGTCGCAAGAGACCTGGTCAGCGGGCCAGGGGCTGCACTGCTGTGCCTGCTGGGTGGGGCTTCCTGAGATGCGCACTCTGAGTGATTCTTTCCATTCTGGCTCTGGGCACTGGTTCCTGGCAGGGAGGAGGGCAGGCTGCCTGGATCAGTCAGCTGCTCTTTTCTGCCCCTCCCTCCAACACACTAGCGCGCGCGCGTGTACGTGTGCACACATGCACACACACACACACACACACACTCTCTCTCTTGCTGTAACCCTAGTAGCTCTGGCCTCTTCTCTGCAGATTCCAGAGCCTTAACCCTTCAGATACCCCCCAGGGAGCCTGAACCTGGGTTCCAGCTGGCCAGGAGCATGGCATCAGGGGAAGGAGTTGCCTTCCCTGAGGCTGCATCTGAAATCCCTGACAGCGAGCAAGTCTTGTGTTTGAGCCCACCCACTTCTGTACTGTATTTATTTATTTAGTGGGGGGAGGTGATTAGATTTATTTATTAACTTTTTTTAATGGAGGTACTGGGGATTGAACTGAGGACCTTGTGCATGCGAAGCACGTACTCTGCCACTTGAGCTATACCCTCCCCCTGAGCCCACCAACTTCTTATGGCTGGGTCTAGGGGCGTGTAAGAGAAAGGAGAGGTTCTGATTCCTTCCTGATGGGCCATGAGATTGGGGCCATGGGAATGGGGAGCAAGCTTAGATCTGTAACTTGGCAAGGATGGGGTGGGGTCTGAATGTCATAATAGGCATCGTGAGGCAGAATGTTCTAATGATTCAGTACCCGCAAGTGGAACAGCCTTACTTCCCATTGCTGGAGTGTGTTCAGTAGAAGTTGAATGCCTACTGTGTTTTAGGAAAATTTAGGCTTCTGCTGGGGGACCTTAAAGGTCCTTTCTAGCCTCTGAAGATCGTGAGCCCCTCCAGTAGCTACCAACGGAACCCAGATGACCTGATTCCTGGTTTCCAGTCTCTGGGTATCAGTCACCCTTACTCTGTCTCTGTATCTTCTCCCACCTCCTTCCCCTCCTTCTCTTTGGACTTTGCATTCTTCTGAGCTCCCACCTTTAGTCACAGTTATGAAAGTAAATGTTGACCACTTCCGCCTTTCCCTATTACCCAGTCAGATGCCAGCCCCAAACCTCACCCCTAGCTGAGGCCTCAATGACGTGGAAGTGGCCAGGGCCCCATGTAGGTGGGACAGCAGCCAGAGAGCAGGCCCAGAAGCTGCCCATCTGGCCCTGCTTGAAGGTGAGTGTGATGGAGCTCAGCCACTACCCCGACTGGCCTGAACACTCTATCCCTCTCCTGCCCACAGGGCTCTAAACTAGAGAGCTGGGATGTAGACCCAGGGCCCCATTTCATGGCCAGGGACAGGTCACTCTGCCCCCCCCTGCACTGTGGCTGGCTGGCTGGTAAAGTGAGTGGTTGGCTTGCCTTAGATGAGCCAGTTTCCTTTGAGCGCTGACATTTAAGAATCTCCATCTCTGACAACCCTCTTCCCCTCCTGGTGGTTGCACGGGGTTTGGAAACCGGGAGGATGATGGAAGGGGCTGAATGGTTCAGTGTCCAGTTGCTGTGTGAGCCTTCCTTTGTTGTTAGTTGGTCTGGGATGGGCAGCTATGAGAAGTGATGAGAAGTTTGGATAGACAGGGCACCCGAGCGAGGATGAGAGCAGATGGGTTAAGAGTTCTGGAGTCAGTCTTAGAGCTGAGTCTTGACTTCATCACACCCTAGCTAAGTAACCTTGGGCAGGTGACTTAATTTTTCTAAGCCTCTATTTCTTTATTTGTAAGTAAAGGGCTAATAACATATCTGCCCTTTTGGGCTATCATAAGGATTTAATGAAATAACTAAAGATGGGGATCAGGCACCGTTGTAAGTGCTCTAAGTGTATTTTCTCATTTAATTTTTACAACTCTGTGGAGGGTACTATTATAGTACCCATTTTCTAGGTGGAGAAATTTAGGCATAATGAGGTAAAGTGGTTATTGCTGGTCTCTGGTCATTGCTGGGCTGGTGGCTGAGGCCCCAGTGAACTGGAATGTGAGCTGCTGTGTTCCCTGCGGACAGGTCTACTGGTAAATTCCTGTGCAACCGGAAGAGTCCCAGGGAGGTGGGAGGGAGAGCAGAGGGCATTTTTGTGAGTCAGTGGCTGGCTGCGCCGGACCGGAACCCGAGTCCTAGTGGCCTATCCTAGGCTGGCCTTGTGCTCCCTAATTCACCCTTTGGTTTGGGGAGGGACCTGTCTGCCTGGCCTGGCTTAGAGGAAGGAAGGTGGTGGTGGTGGGGCAGCCAGCTGTCTGGGCAAAGGGCAGGCCCTGGGGAACTAGGTTCCTCAGATAAGTCCCAGGACCACTGTCTGTTAGAGCTGGAAATGAGCTTGGAGATCATCCGGTCCACTCACCTCATTTCACAGAGGTGCACCCTGAGGAGCTGACAGGACCAGGTCATGGTGACATCATTGTCTGGTGGCCCAGTTGGGGCCTTTCCTGCCAGTGTCTTGTGGGCTGTGTTTAGCCTGTTCACCTGTGTACCGCCACCCAGATGGTGGACGTCCGATGGGCCCAGGGCTGAGATGACTGTAATAATGAAAGATGATCCTACTCCAAAGGTGGCCTGCCTTACTGCTTCCTGCAGACAAGACGCTGTTCTCTTGGTGGAGTTAAAGGGGCTGTTCGGAGGGGAGTAGAAGGGAGTAGAGAGGAGTCTCTTGCCTCAGAGCCCAGTTTCTTTTCCTTCCTTTTTAAAAAAAAGTCTATTAAGGAGATTCATATATTGTAACTGCTTATGAATATTATGTCCTACCCCAACATAAGACCAAAGTATTTTCGAAAACAGTATCTCTGTGGCTTAAACTCACACCATTTAGGAGCGAGACCTTCACCACCGCCTGCTTCTCACACTGGTTTGTTGTGTCACACCTTCATTGTCAGGAAGGCCTTTCTTATTTCTGATCTGCACATTCTGACTCTTCTGGCTCTTTCACTTGGGGAAGCTGAAGAATAGCTTTCCTCAAAATAACTCCTTTAGAGACCTGGCCTGCTATTTGATCTCTGCTCCCCGCCCCTCCCTGCTGCCTTCCCCTCTGTGTTATCTCAGTTGAGAGAGAAGAGTTAATAATCCTTTATCTGCTCCTTAAACTCTGCAGGGTGCCCTAAAAAGAGCCGGTTCTCCCTTCCTTCCGGCAGAGCCTCTGGGGATGTCTGTTGACCTGGATCTGGGGGGCTTCCTCCCTGTGGGGTCCTGAAGGTCTGCCCTTGAGAGATGCTCTTGGGGGCCCTGTCAAGGGGCCTAGACTGTGTCAGGGCTCATCCGTACCAGAGACCTTGGGCCCTTCCAGGGCCCTCCTCCTTAGTTCTTCCCAAGCCTACATCTCTGCCACCTCAGAGGGGAACACCTACTTTGGGGGCAGGCGGGCAGGAATCCCAGAGATACCAGGGACCCTGGCTTTCACAACATGTGTCTTTCCCTCCCAGGGGGCTTTGAGGCCCCCTGCACACACTGTCTACTTCCTGGCAAGACCACGAAGAGAGTGGTGGCAGCCACAGGCTGTCACATGCCTGGCCAGTCTTGGTTGTTATTTGAAGGAACCAGAAAGTCCTGTCTCGGGCCTGCTTTTTTGTGCAGCCTCCCAGCCCCTGGAGCCAGCCCGGTGCACCCACTCGCCTTGGCCTCTCAGGCAGCCCCTGACTCAGCCTGCCACGGTCCACAGCCTGGCAGCTCCGGCCTTGGGGCGAGTTTGTTGTCTTCCACTTGGGGCCCTGGCTCCTCTCCAGCTCTGCCTTTCAGGCTTTGAGCTCCTGCCAGCTGCTGTGGGGGCTGGGCTCTTACTGGATCCCAGCTGGCCCTGTGACTCACTGGTGGCTTTGCTGAGACCATGGAGCTTCTTCTCTGGTCACTGGAAGACTCTTAAGCGAGCATGGGGGAGTTCCCAGGCCCCCTACTCTCACACCACTGATGCCCAGTGACTGTTCTTGGCTCCTGCACTAAATCCCGTCTCCTGTGGCAGGAAGCTGCACAGTAAGGAGGGCCGTGGACAGAAAGCTGGTGTGAGGGCAGAGGGGCAGGTGCTGAGCTGGTGGGGTGGGCAGTGCTGTGGGGACGGGGACAGTGGCCTGTGGGCCAGGAATGATACACTGTGATTGGGGGAGAAAGTATGAGTGTCCCTTTCCATGGAGACAGGCTGGACTCAGGCTGAGCGAGCTGAGCCTGGGCACTCACAACTAACTTTTCTCATCTTCCATTTCAGGTCCCAGCAGCTGGGGTCTCCCCTCAGCCCTTGAGCGGCCATGTCCCACCCCAGTGCCCCACCTCCATATGAGGACCGCAACCCCCTGTACCCTGGCCCTCCGCCCCCGGCGGGCTATGGGCAGCCGTCTGTCCTGCCCGGTGGGTACCCTGCTTACCCACAGCCTGGCTATGGTCACCCTGCTGGCTACCCACAGCCTATGCCCCCCATCCACCCGATGCCCATGAACTACGGTGAGTTTCTGAAGGGCAGCTGGGGGGTGGGGTGGGAGGAGGCAACACTTGAGCATATGAGGCCACTTCCTTTCCTTCCTTTTCAATTTCCTTTATCTTATTTTCATCTTCTCTTTACATCTCTCCTTCTGTTCTCCCTTCTTTGTTACCTCCCTGCTTTTTCCTTCAGCTCCTAGCTGGGGTGCTAGGTCCTCCAGAGGGGGGCCGTCTGCCAACCCCTTTATTTAGCAAGGACACTGAGTCTGTAAGACACCTACCAGAACTTACACATCAGATGAGAAAGTGGCTGGGTGAAGTAATTTTAGTTACTTCAGAGCCATTACCTGAGGAGGCCGTTCATTTCTGTTTCCCAACCAGGCAGTTGCCACCCCACCCACCCACTTCTCTTCCTTAGGAACTGCTTAGGAACCTGAAGCAGTTTTTTTTCCCTTTAAATATTCTTGGTGCTGACAAATCCTCTTCCTTTAAGGTAACATCTGATTTTTGCAAACATCCAGAAGTCATTTGGATGTTTAATAAACGTCATGGCAGGTAAATTTGGTCAGAAATGAGGTAAGATTAGGATGCAGTGAGGCTTTTCCTCTGCGGCTCACATGCGGATTTCGAAAGCAGTTCCCGAGGAGGTATTTGAGGGCTGTTTTGAGCCCCTGCAACATCCCTGGAATCCTGGAGTGTGGCCAGCTCTCATCTGGCCTTATGTGTTCTGGTGTGAATGTTAGCACATCAGTCACGTTTACAGCCGTGCCTCGTCCTGTGCACGTACACCCCAATGTATCTGTTTTCCCTGAGTCCTGATGTTTGCCTGATGTAGATCACAGTCCACATACCCCATTCTCCACCCTCCACATGCATGCTCTGTGTTTCTACCTTCCTTTTCTTCCCTCCATCTCTGAGTCCGTGCTCTGACCCTGCCAGCGCCTCTGCCCCGTGCCTGCCTGGCTTCCTTATGAGATTATGACCCCTCGACGGCAGGGACCACGGGTGTTCGCCCCCCTCAGTAAATGCATACTGAAGGAGTGCTTACACCTAAACCCCCCTGGGCCAGGGGCGTGTGACTCCCTCCCTGTGGGTGGCCAGACCAACTCTCGTCACTCAGAGGGCATCTAGAGGACCTGGCTGGGGCAATGAGGTCCTGAGTTATAATACATGTCTTTTGGCTGGAGATTCCTGAGACTTTGAGATAGTGTCATGGAGGCTTGGGGATTGAGGCCATGTGTCCCAGATTCCCCGTTGTTCATGTATGATCTGTTCCCAGGCGCAGGCCAGGGCTATGATGGGGAGAGAGCAGTGAGTGACAACTTCGGGTCTGGAGATTGGGATGACAGGAAAGTCCGACATGCCTTCATCCGAAAGGTGAGATGTGCGCTGGAAGGCAACCTGGGCCTGGGGCTGTGGGAATTGGGGGGACTTGAGCTGCTCCCCTCTGGGTCCTCTCTAGTCCTGCACCCTCCTCAAAGGGGGCCCTGGCTCCTCTAACCTATGTTCACTCACCTTTTTCTCCTTTCTTCCTTGACCTTATTTTGGGGGGAAGATTCAATCTGGGAAAATCTGGGCAGGCTTTGCCCAAGTGTTCTGCTCTCTGCACACCTCTTTCTCCTGTTAGACTGTAGCAACTTGAAGCCAGAACTGATGGTGCCCATTTGCAGCCCCTGCCCCCACATCTCATGTCTGCACAGCACCTGCTCAGGGTAGACAGATACCTGAGCTCGGCAGGCTGAACCTCTGCAGGTGCGGAGGCCGTACCTGGTGGTGCCGCGAGGCAGGAGCAGTGAGTTATCAGTGAGGCCAGATGTCGGACAGCAAGCAGGAGATGTCAGGGAGCAGCGGGGGGTGAGGGCAGCCCTGCGCATGTGTGCAGTATCTCAGCCGGACTTCTCACTGGGGGTGGCCTCTCTGCCAGGCTGCAGCCGGGGTGGGCTCTCAAGTGGGAAGGAAGTAAGAGTAGATCCTTCAAATTAAGAAGGAGCCCCCTCCCTACCTCTGAAAGATGGGGAAGGGGGAAGGTGCAGGGTCTTTTGGGCTCCTTGATCTCGGGAGCTGGATGCTTCCTGGGGAGAGGCCAGGAGTAGAGGGTGGTGACCTGTGCTGTCCCTGGCCGTCTGTGTTCCAGGTTTACACCATCATCTCCATCCAGCTGCTCGTCACGGTGGCCATCATTGCTATCTTCACCTTTGTGTGAGTCTCTAGGCCTCTCTGCCCTAGCTCTGGGCTCCTGGGCTCGGGGCTCTGGGTCACCTGCTGGGAGCATGGCTTGGGGTGGGCCCTTGACTTAGATTGACTGGAAGAGGAGTTTAGATGTGGGCGATTAAAGATGGGGCAGCAGGCTGCCTGGTGGGACTTGGCAGGGAGGTAGACAAGCCGTGGTGTGACCCCTCTCTCATCCTTCCCTGCTCCACAGGAAGCCGGTCGGCCAGTTCGTGAGGGCAAACCTGGCTGTCTACTACGCATCCTAGTGAGTCTGTGCTCCTCCCTGCTCGGGGGCCAGGAGAGGAGGGGCGGCAGTTGGCCAGCTTTTCAGGGCAGGGATCAAAATACTTCTGGAGAGGGGTGCTCCCAGTTGCCAGTTGTGCTGGGAAGTCTGAGTGTGTGCCACCAAGTGTAAGTAGCAGTGTCACAGAACTTCTGAGAGCAGGGGCTGGGGGGCTGGTGGCAACATGAATACTGTGAAACAGTCCCACGTTCTGGCAGCCTCTCTGCTGGCCTCCTGTGCGGCCTCCTCCCTGGCCAAACCCTTGTTACCGAGGTTCTCAGAGCCCCTGGCTGGGGTGATCTTGTCCTGCTGGGTAGCCCCTCAGACTTCTAGACAGCTCCCTGGGCCTCCAGCCTGCCAGTCTGGTGAGTGCTGCCAGGCTGGGCTGGGGCCAAGGGGCAGAGTGGATCTGGAGACTACTTCCCTGTCTCTTTCTCCACAGTGCTGTCTTCCTGGTCACCTACCTGACCCTCGCCTGCTGCCAGGGACCCAGGTGAGTCCCAGAGACTTAGACATGGGAAGGGATGGCAAGAGGGGGGCTAAGTATTTTGCAAAGAAAGGGGATTCTTTATAGCAGCTGAATGGAGACTCACCAGTGGTGATGATGATGATGGCTACTGTTGAGGTGTGTACAGAGGATCCTGCGTGTGTGGAATCTATTTAGCTATCTAGCTGTTATTCTTACAGCCCTACAAGATATGTAGCATTTTAATCACTTAACAAATAGGAAGAACCCAAGGCTCAGAGAGGCCAAGGAACTTTCTCACAGTCACACAGGTAGTAGTCTAACAGCTGCAAATGAATCCAGGTCTTTGTGGCTCCACAGCCCGAGCCTGTCCTCTTGCCCCATGTTGTCCCTTAAGTGGAACACCTGAGCAGGTACCAAAGGCTGTGCCAGCCTCCCCTCCCCCAAGTCAAGGCCTAATCCTCTAGGTGCACAAGCCAAGAATTTCCTTCTTCTAAAGGAGCCTCTGATACCTGGCCGGCCCCACGTCACTTAATCATGGTTTCTTTCCCTTCAGACGCCGTTTCCCATGGAACATCATTCTGCTGGCCCTCTTTGTGAGTCTAGAAGGGTCGAGGGAGGGCGTGGAGATGATGAGGGAGGGCTGGGCGCAGGGAAGGGAGGGGACATCATGATGGAAGATGTCCCTGACTCTCTCCGTGACCTTACCCTGACCCCTGCCCTTGGTCTCCTTGTGGCTGCCTCATACCCCAGCCCTGGTGGTCCACCATGGCCATGCCTCCAGGGCCCCGCCTCTCTTCTTAAGTGTCTCACCCTTGTCTCTGTCCTTCCCTCAGACTCTTGCCATGGGCTTCATGACTGGCACCATTTCCAGGTACGTTCAGGGACAAACCACCACACAGGGGTGTGTTTTCTAGGGGTGTGGGGCATCCCTGGGCTGGCAGCCACCTGTATGGGCATAGATTCTGGGCAGGGTACTTTTAGAAGTGGTGATTCTGAAGTCCTTTATATTTGGTTTATGCCTCTGGCTTCTCAACTCCTTCTTCCCCGCAGTGTGTATAACACTAAAGCTGTCATCATTGCAATGATCATCACTGCTGTGGTGTCCATTTCAGTCACGATCTTCTGCTTCCAGACCAAGGTGAGGGCACGGAGGGCCCTTCCCTGGCTGCCTCATCTTTTATTATAGACAGACCTGGGCTTCCAGGCTTGGCACTTGAGCAGGCCTGGGAGGGACTTCCCTTAGAGACTCTAACCCCTTTCCCGTCATATCTGCACCTACAGAACTGCTTCCTGTGTCTTTCCTTAGAATGTCATGATCACTCTCATGCTCCCCACCCATTGAGGAGGCAGCACTGGGACTTTCTGGAGGAGGAGGCAGGGGCTGTCTGGCTGGGCTGCTACTTGGGTCAGCTGGGTTGACATGTGCCTTCCTCTCCCTTCCTGGCAGGTGGACTTCACCTCGTGCACAGGCCTCTTCTGTGTCCTGGGAATTGTGATGATGGTGACTGGGATTGTCACGGCCATTGTGCTGTCCTTCAAATATGTGAGTGCCCCAGGAGAGCTGGGGTCAGCGAACCTGGTGCTCAGGGCAGACTTTCTGTGTAATGTGGTAGAGCCGGCCCCACAGGCCTCTGGGCAGTTTCTTGCTTCCAGAACTTCTCGACTGGCTAGCAAAGGTATCCAAGCTGAAGAGCCATCCTTTGGGTTAGAGTCTCTTTGGAGACATCGGGCCCTGGGAACCATAGCACCTGAGGCCTTGGACAGAATCATGAGATTCCTAAGAGAAGTGGTGGGTTAGATCTGTCTGACAGCTGAGACCAGGTTCTAGGAGGCAGGCTGGCAGAGGAACCCAGGGGACCGAGAAGATGGGCTTGGGTGGAAGGGACCTTAGGGATCACTGTGTCCAACTCCTCTTTTATTCTAGTCAGCAGGGAGAGCATGAGGCCCCTAGACTGAGGGAAGCTTCATGATGGGGAGGCAAGAACAGCGCTGAAGGGGAAACACATGAATGGGAGGGCCGCCTGCCCACTTCACTGTGGGCTGGCCCTGCCCTTCTTTGGACAGGCACTTGGAAGGCTGTTGAGCAGGGCTGCCCTGGGGGTGTTTCCTGACTCTGATATTCATCAGGGTGGTTGGAGGGCTTCCCCCTAGCCCTCTTCTTTAATCTGTCCCTCCAATGCTGGGTTACAGGAACAAGATCTATGGAATGTTGACCATGACTAGGGGAAAGGTGATGGGGCTTTTCAACCAGCATGCGCATGGGTCTGACCCTCCCAGAGCTAGAATTCAGCCACTTTTTCTTCCAGAAGAATAGTGGACACCTCTGTACCTTGATTAACTCTGGAGAGTGGTTTGGCTAAGATGCTGTGATTGGTTTTATGTAGCCATTAGAGGATGGTCTGTTTTCTCTGCCAAATATGTTACCATTCTTAATTTCTGCCACGATCTGGAAGGCAGAAGTATTCCTTTCATGTAGCCAGCTTCCTAGATCTTCCCACTTGGCCAGAAGATGGTCCCAAGGCCCTGCCTCCGCCCAAGCTTTGCTAAGATTTCTAACGCCATCCCTGTTTCCTCTGCACAGATTTACTGGCTGCATATGGTCTACGCCGCTCTGGGGGCCATTTGCTTCACCTTGGTGAGTAAGGTCCCACCCTCTTTAGGAAGGGGAGCTGAGGGGACGGAGGGGAGGAACTGGGCGGCTGGTGAATTTAGGCCACAGTGCCCTTCCTTTTTCCTACTCTCCATGGGTTCCACCGATTTCCCGGGCATTGCCACCATCTCTTGTTTACACCGCCGACTATGAGAACACTCAGTGTTGGAGAACACTCAGATATGGAGACAGTGTGCCTGTCTCTCTTTCTAGACTGTGAACTGCTTGAGGGCAGAGACCATATGTTCTACTGTTCATTAATGTGTTCCCTAAGCACACCTCATGGCACAGAGGCTCCCAGGATAGGTCCGCTGACCGCTGAGCCCCTGGGTCCTCATGTGTAGCTTCACTGTCCTTGCAGTTTCTGGCTTACGACACACAGCTGGTCCTGGGGAACCGGAAGCACACCATCAGCCCAGAGGACTACATCACGGGTGCGCTGCAGATCTACACAGACATCGTCTATATCTTCACCTTTGTGCTGCAGCTCCTGGGGGATCGCAATTAAGGAGCAACTCCTATATGCCCCACCCCAGGCTTTCCCTTCCCTAGAGGGCTGGGCCTTGTGACCTGGGTCTGGGCCTCAGACCCCTTTCTTTCCCCTCAAGTAACATGCCCATTTTCCTTCTGTCTGGGGATGTGTGGCTCCTCTCTGGCTGTGGATGTGTAGGTACCAGCTGGGGATGGAGGAACTAGGGACTAACTCTTTCCCTTAGTGGACTCGACAGGGACCTAGACGAAAGATGTGCCTTCTCCCTGCATCTACTAGGGGCACCAAATTCTTCTTAACAGCTGGGGTTGGAGTAGGGAGGATGAAAAGAGCCTAGTCTGGAACTAAAAGGGAATATGAGAGGTAGAAGCGACTTCATGGTCATGAGGTTTCCCCTCCCACTTCTGCTACAGGCTTCTGGACTAGGTAGCTGGAGCTGTTTCCTCCCTGAGCCCCCAACAAAGCCACAGAGCTTTGCCCCAGCCTCCTGGACTCATAGGCCATTATCCTGTACCCCTTTGGCAACTCTTGGCACCTTCCAGCTCAGGAAGGTAGAAAGGGTTTGCGCTTGTGGGTCTTCCCTGCTTCAGCCCCTACTTTTGATAGCATATATATACTGATTTGCCGGGTTAGGGGTGGGGAGGAAGAGAGTGAGCAAAGTCAAGCGCAGAGGCCAATACAGAGCAGCATCTACCCACGGCTTCCTCCTGGCTTATGGTGGCAGAGAGCAGGCCCATTTGTAGCCGTATGGTCCCCATTCTCCAAAGCTGCCTGGGCCTCCCTGGTGCTTCTGAGATTTCTGGTTAGAGGGACATCTTGCTTCCTTTGGTCAGGCTGCTCAGAGCAGAAAGTGAGGGACAAAGTTCAGGCGATGAGGTGGTATGTAGGATCACCACTTTGTGGCAGCATGGCCAGGAAGTAACCAGGGTGAAGAGAGACTGGGGTGTGGGCAGGGACAATGCCTTGGGGTCCCTCACCCTGTCTGGGAGATATGGAAGCCTGCTGTGGTGCCCGTGGTTCTTCCCTTCTGCTGTCTTGGAGAGGGCCCTGAGAGAGAGACTGTCCCTCTTAGTTTGTTAACTCATACTTGGGGGATTAAAGACTCAGGCTCCATCTCTCCAGCCAACTACTGCTTTCTTTGTGACACCAAGTGCCTCAAGCTGGAATGGGGAAGGGAGAACAAGGGTCACTCTATGGGGTGGGGTGGAAACCAAATCAGCCCAAGGGTATAATTAGGACTTCTCTATTAAGTACTTGGTCCTAAATATATCCCACAAAAGGACATAACTAGAAATGTAATAAAGTTTTATGTTTAGAAGGTAAAACCTTGTTTGGCTCTGGTTTTTTTCATTTTAAGGTGTCGGCTCTGGGAGAATCAATCTGGCTCTGTCTGAAGCATCCACATTCACCTTTTCATTCTGGCTTGGAATCTTCTACCTTTTCTATGATAACCAAATACACTTTGTCCCCATACTTCCTGGTGATTGTTCAACCCTGCAAGACGAGGTCTGGCAGGGGCTGCTCAGAGCCATAGCACGTGACCTTTTCTGAATCATGGACCCTTTACAAAAGTGCATGAGAGCTATGAACTCTTTTCCCCACAAAGCTTATGTGTACACACGATTTCACATATGGGGGAGTGGAGGTGGGGGTGGACCATAATGTTCAGGTTTAGAACTCCTGCCTTGGAAACCACTAGTCTAATCCCTCTTACAAACAAGGAAACAGGCACAGAGAGGTTGAGTCATTTGGACTCAGCCAAAAGGAGCAGTGCTTTTTTTTTAACTCCACACCCTGAACGCCCTCTTTGATTCTCTTTATTATTTGTCTAAGGCTGAGTGGGACCCCACCCTCCTGGCCAGCAGCTCTGAGGGCTTGGTCCCCAAGGCCCGAGTCTAGTCTTGTATTTAAGTCTCCCCCAACCATTCCAGCCGGAACACTAAGGCTTCTGTGAGAGGGAGTAACCATCCCCACCCTCTGCCCCACCCATCCCAAGGGACTCACAAACCCAGTCCTGGTTCCCTTCCACTCATTCAGTAAGTAACTTTATTTGCCTTTGGCTGATTTCTCGGGCGGGGAGGAGAGGGGCTGGCAGCAGCCTGGGCTTCATGCGCCCTCTGGTGGGCCTCAGAGGCAAGAACCAGAATCGTCACCAAACTGAAAGGACTTGACATTCTGGAGGCCACAGTCAACACAGTCTAGGGGAGGGTTGCAGTGTTCCTCACGACTGCACCCCGGACCCAGCTTCAGGAGATGGGGCATGATGGGAGGAGGCCCTGAACCTCTGGCTCTTATACTCGCCCGTGTTGGATGCCCGCATGTTCTGCCGAGCCTTCATCTGCTTCAAACGGTCCTTGTCCACTTCCCGCTTGGTGAGGATGAAGAGGAGGATACCACAGGGGAAGCCGATGGCCCTAGGGGTGGGGAAATGTGCACGGGATTTGGGGAGGGGCCAAGCCTGAGCCAGAGGAGCTGGGGAGAATCTCATTCTAGCCTCATCAATCGCTCGAACGCTGCAATACCACTTGCGTCTATTCAGCCTCTGCCATGGCTGCTGGAGGGCCCCACTTGAATCAGATCCTGCCACTGCCCTGCTTAAAATGCTGTAATAGCTCTCCATCATTTCCTGGCCAAGTTTAAACTCCTAGGCATGGCACAAAATGCCCAGTGTTGTTGGGTCTCTGCCCACCTCGTCATTACTTTCCCCTAGACACTGGTTACTCCTCAGTATGAGCCCTGCCATCCTGCCGTACCGACTGTGCCAGACTCTCCAGACAGCTCATCCTCTTTACCTCCCCAACTCTTGGCAAAGATTTCCCTCTGTCTAAACTGCCTCACACCCCCTTGCAGACTCCGCTCCTTAATTGAGTGACCACTGTGTGGAAAGCGCTGAGGTGTGGGGAAAGGGCATGGGGTCACAAGACCTGGTGAGAATCCAGCTTTGAGCTTCAGTTCCCTCCTCTATGAAATGGGGGTGTCATATTTATCTCAGAAAGATGAAAACATTACACTGTAAAGTACTGGCACACCTCAGGTGCTAGAAAAAAATGTCAATTTCCCTCTCCTTTTCCTTTAACATTGATCAATAACACGCATTAAGATGAGAGTCAGATCCAAGTAACAATGCACTGAACACCTTGTAGGTGCTACTATACAGCTAATATAATCTTGTGTGATCTCGATTAGCTGAAAGATCTCAATTGGGTCTCACCCCAAGCTCCCAAAGAGAGGATGAGGCCAGGAACCCAAATCTGAATCAGATTAGCTCAGCTTACTCCACAGAAAACACTGTCTTTCCAATTCCACATCCTTTTCCACTCCCCTACCCCAGTCCTCTGAGATTCCAGTCCTCACACCCAGCAACTGTCCCCACAACCTTGGATTCACCTCACCACCTGAAACTTGGAGAAGTTTCTGGGTCCCGCCCTCCCCTAGTGCCACTCCCCATTGGTGGGCAAAGGGTTAGTTAAAACTCACCAGGCTAGTCCCACAGCTTTCATGGGGTTCTTGCCCCTCTTTCTGGGAATGTATTCCAGCTCAGGGGATAGGGGTTCAGGCTCCTCCTTGGACTCTGGGGAGCTGTGGCTTTGCAGCGCCCGGGTCCTGTTCTGGGAAGCCTTGTTAGCTGTGGCTCCTGAGAGAATCCCTGTGGATGGAGGCAAGGAAGGTCAGTAAGAGAGGATGAGAAAGAAAGCCCGGGGAGGAGTGGTTGAGATATGAGAAAGGGGAGTGACTGCCGTTTGGAGTAACAAGTGCCAGGAAGAGTCCAGAGGGAAATGGGAAAATCGCCATCGAGGTGGCACCTTTGAAAGCCACTTCCACGTCACTGCGGGCTTATCACCCTGGTGCCAGGAGAGCGAGCTTCGCTGTTCTTCATCTCCTCAGACGACAGGATGTGAAGGACTACAGTGGGGCTCACATGAGGCGTATGAAGGAAATCCGAGAAAAGGTTTTCAAACTGCAGAGTGTTAGCACTGGCTTAAAGATAGTCTACTCCATCCCCTCATTTTATAGAAGAGGAAACTGAAGCCCCAAGAGACGAACTGCTTCGCCCAAGGTCAAACTGCTAATTATCAGGGGCTAGAACCCAAGCCTCCAGAAGCCCAGGGCTCTTTCCTCTGCAGTGCGGTGAGTGTGAAACACCTGGAGCGCGGGAGTCTAAAAGGCTTCCTTGGGGCTCCCTTTCGCAGCAAGACCCCAGAGGTGTCGTGTAACCGGAAGGCTGAGGGATGGGCTGGGTGACCTCTAAAGAGCATCTTTTAGCCCCCAGACTCTTTTAAGATCCTGCAGAGAGGTGCGGGCAGCAATCGACAGCCCTGACATCCTGCTATCGTCGAGCGGGATGTGAAAAAAAGGGGATTCCCTGCAGTCCTGCCCTCCCCGGGGTCCCTCTCCTTACCCCGGAGGACGCGGGCATTTCTTGCCCCCCGGCCCTTCAGCGCCGTAGCAGCTACCACCGCCGCCATGTTCAGATCCCACCCCCCCTTCACCGCACTCCCCGCTGGGAATTGTAGTTTGCGTAAGGGGCCTCCCCCGCTCCTTTCGTCCGGCCTACAGACCAGAAACTACAACTCCCAGAAGCCCGCGGAGCGGACCAGAGAGAACTACTCTTCCCAGGAGACTCCAGAGGCGCGCACGCTCGCTTGTTTCCCTCCTGTTGGGGGCGGAGACTGGTTGGGCGGAGTTTGGTTGCTCCCTGCCACGCCCCGTCCCCCTCTCCCAACTCTGCCCTGTGATTGGTGGTTCATCCAGTCAAACCCCTTCTCTATTGGTCGAGAGCCCGTCGTTCTCATTGCCGGGGAGTCGCCTACGCCTACTTCCTCCCGGGAGGAGGGGCTCGTGTTCCGCGTCGTCGCGCAGAGCTGACTCTGGGAGGCGTTTAGGCCCAGAGAAGTGGATCTGCCGCTTGCGCCGCATGGAGTCCGAATCGGAAAGCGGGGCCGCCGCTGACACCCCACCACTGGAGACCCTAAGCTTCCATGGTGATGAAGAGATTATCGAGGTGGTAGAACTGGATCCAGGTCCGCCAGACCCGGGTGAGAGCTGCTGATCCTCAGGCCATGGGACCGGAGGCGCTCACCTCTGGCCTTTGACCCCCTGCTTCTCCCCCTCCCCTCCCCACCGGTCATTCCTACCGGCCTCCTTCGCCCTTCCTCTCTCCTCCAACCCCACACTTAGTTCACAGGCCTGGCGGGGGTGGGGGGTTCCCCTGACGCCTCCTCTGGCCCTTCCCCTCACACACCCCCTTCCCATCATCCCCTTGGTCCTCCCTTCCCACACTGTCTCTGGCCAACCCCAGGTCCTCGGACCTCTCCTGTCCTCCGCCCCACACGCCCCCTCCTCCTTGCCGCTTCTCACCCCCGCTTGACCTCATCTGTCTGATCTCACCTTACCCCCTTGCCACATGATCCTCCGCAGCCTCGGGCTTCCCCACACTTCCCATCCCTCTTACCGCCTGGCAAGCACCATCTTTTAACCCTCTCCCCAAAGCAGACGATCTGGCCCAGGAGATGGAAGATGTGGACTTTGAAGAAGAGGAAGAAGAAGAGGGCAATGAGGAGGGCTGGGTTCTGGAACCCCAGGAAGGGGTGGTCGGCAGCATGGAGGGCCCAGACGATAGCGAGGTCACCTTTGCATTGCACTCGGGTAGGTCTCTGAGGAGATCGTCATAAACTTAGTCCAGGTGGGCACTTGAGCATCAGACATCTACTGTGTAGGGAGTAGTATGAGGGACACTGGTGGGAAAATGCTGGCCTTGCCCTGGAGGTAGGGGGCAGTATGATGGAATGGAGAAGGGCTTGGCTCCTGGAGTCAGTTGAGACACTTGGGTTCAAATCCTGTCTCTGCTACTTGCCTATTTATGATCTTTATTAAAGTGCCTGAGCTTTAGTTTCCTTTTAAAGAGTTGTCACTGGTGAAAGTCAATAAACGTTCCTTTAGTGTGAATTAGAGGTAGTACTTTTTGGAGCATATTTTAGATAATTCTCTTAAATATTAGCTCCTAATGAGGAACCAGTAACACTGTACTCTCCTCACTCAGTCCCCAGCCTGGTGGCATCCCATGCTGAGAACTGTAAGCCCTGCACGTGTATCCTCTTTTGTCCCTGGTGTCAGTGTTGGGTGGTGAAGGGAGCGGCACTGAAGGGGGCTCTGCTTTGGAGAAGGACTTAGAGTTTGGGAAACTTGGGGAGGGATTTCTCCAACAACCTTGAAATGCAGAAGAACTTGGATGCATCCTTCTTTTCCAGGAAGAAAGACATGTTGCTTTGGGTGGAAGGGGGTGGGCTTCCCAAAGTTCCCGAAGGACAAAACCCTAGGTGGGAGCCCCATCCCCTTACGGAGTATCTCTTGGGACAGCGTCTGTGTTTTGTGTGAGCCTGGACCCCAAGACCAACACCTTGGCGGTGACAGGGGGTGAAGATGACAAAGCCTTCGTGTGGAGGCTCAGCGATGGGGAACTGCTGTTTGAATGTGCAGGTGAGGGGACCTGGGGGAGGTCCTTCCCCTTTGGTGGTCGCAGGGGCTGGCCTGCAGTGGTTGCGAATCTAACAGCCTTTTATTGACTCCTGTTTTGCCAGCTCTGTGCTTGGCCCAAGGGCCCCAAAGAGGAATAACATAGTCTGTTGTGGGCACAGGGAGGGAGGCACTAATTGGTCAGAGGAATCTGGGAAAGGCCTGGGAGGAGGAGTATTGGGAAGTGAAGGAGTATTAGGGCAGAATGGAGCTTGTGGGTATTTCAGTCAGAGGTATGGAGTAGACAGAATGGAGAAGATATAGGCCTTGGCTACACATGGTTGAGTTGGGGGCCAGCAGTGTCTCTCCTGGGGACACCTGGGGGTGTTGGCTCCTGGAGTGACTCTGAGTTTGTTACCTGTTCTGCTGGGACCTACCCCCCTTATTTTTTTCCCCAGCTGGTCCTTTCCGGGAGCCAGATACCTGGGTCTTGTGTCCCCAGCACCAGATATCCTGAGGTTCTCTTTTCGTTCTGCCCACTTTTTTTTGCAGGCCATAAAGACTCTGTGACTTGTGCTGGTTTCAGCCATGACTCTACCCTGGTGGCCACAGGGGACATGAGTGGCCTCTTGAAAGTGTGGCAGGTGGACACCAAGGAGGAGGTCTGGTCTTTCGAAGCAGGAGATCTGGAGGTGAGATCAGTGGAGGGCCAGGGGTAGGGATGAGGGCTTGGGGGTCCAGTCCCACCCCGACGCCAGGCCAGGCCAGCCCTGAGCCACTGCACTCCCACAGTACAGCAAGAACATCTGAACCCGTTCCCTGGGATGTCCCTGCTGACTCAGAAGCAGGGAAAGCTTGGTGGGGCTCATGGGGCAGACTCCTAGGTGAGATGGGGTGAAGGGTCTTCCTGCTGACCCTTTCTCTGCCCAGTGGATGGAGTGGCACCCTCGGGCACCTGTCCTACTGGCGGGCACAGCTGATGGCAACACCTGGATGTGGAAGGTCCCGAATGGTGACTGCAAGACCTTTCAGGGCCCCAACTGCCCAGCCACCTGTGGCCGAGTCCTCCCTGACGGTGAGAGCAGCTCCCGTGAGTGCAGAGAGCTGGGCGCCAGGGTTGCACACCTCCCTGGCTCCCTTTTGGGCCACCGCCAGCAAACTCTGAGGCCTGTTTTTCTACCCCACCTCCCCTATTCCCTGGCCTGATGTGTTTGAGGGTGCCATCTGTCCTCTCTTCATCGACGTCTCTGGCACTCTAGGGAAGCGAGCTGTGGTCGGCTATGAAGATGGCACCATCAGGATTTGGGACCTGAAGCAGGGAAACTCTATTCATGTACTGAAAGGTATCAGAAGTGGGTTAATCGAGGCCTTTATAGGGAAGGGGCTGAGACCTGGGGCAGGATGAAGTCTGACTTATCCCCCTACTTCATCCTAGGGACTGAGGGTCACCAGGGCCCTCTGACCTGTGTCGCCACCAACCAGGACGGCAGCCTGATCCTAACTGGCTCGGTGGACTGCCAGGCCAAGCTGGTCAGTGCCACCACAGGCAAGGTGAGTGGGGCCTGGAGCCTGGCTGTGGGGCCCTCTGCTTTCTACATCTCCTCTCCTTCCTTTTTTATTCTTCACTCTGCCTCCTCGCCTCACCATCTTTCTTCTCTATTCGAGGACCAAGTTTCCAGGCCTTTCTCTGATCCCCTCCTCTGGCTCATAGGTAGTGGGCGTTTTCAGACCTGAGACCGTGGCCTCCCAGCCCAACCTGGGAGAAGGCGAGGAGAGTGAGTCCAACTCAGTGGAGTCCTTGGGCTTCTGCAGTGTGTGAGTGTGAGCAAGGCCTCGGCCTGGAGACAAGAGCAGGGGGGTTGGGGAAGGGGGACTGGGCTAGGGGACCCTAGAGGACCAAAGGGCACTGAGTCCTGGTCCCTCACGGGCCATCGTGATGCTCTGCTCTGCCCAGGATGCCCCTGGCAGCTGTTGGCTACCTGGATGGGACCTTGGCCATCTATGACCTGTCTACACAGACCCTCAGGCACCAGTGTCAGCACCAGGTACAGGCAGCCTGGAGCGATGGCCACGGCTGTGGGGAAGCTTAGGTCTCTGGGAGCACTTAGCCCAGACCTGGCTGTCTGGTTTTTCCCTGTGACCCATCATCTATCCGTCCCTCCCTCCCTCACTTTCTGAGAGTTGGGAGCAGATGCCTGTCAGCTCTGCCGCCCCTGACCCTGCCCCGCCCCTGTCATCCCCTGCTGTAGTCGGGCATTGTGCAGCTGCTATGGGAGGCAGGCACCGCCGTGGTTTATACATGCAGCCTGGACGGCATCGTGCGCCTTTGGGATGCTCGGACTGGCCGCCTGCTTACTGACTACCGGGGTCACACGGCTGAGATCCTGGACTTTGCCCTCAGCAAGTAAGTGCCTTGGGCAAGGGCTGGGGTCTCTGTATATTTAGAAGATGGGAATAGTATACAGGGGGCCACAGGGGCTTTAGGGTGTGGGAGGGGATTCCTAAGGGAAGCTGGGCTGGCCTAGGAGGCAGGAGTGCTGGGAAACCTGTAGGAGCCATGGCTTCTGTTGACAGTGTGGCTGCATCATTTGTGGGGCTCAGAGGCAGGGACTGCTTCCCTGCTGCAGGCAGCTCTCCTCTGATCCCCTTCTGGTTGCTGGCTTCAAGTGTGTTCACTGGATGCGGCGGATCAGCCTAGGCATAGGGGCCTAGAATTAAGAATCCTCTGGAGGAAGCCACCCGAGGGCCCCTGGATGGTGGGCTTGGGGTTAGGCCTTACATCCTCCATTCCCCTCAGTGTGTGCTTTCTGTCCACAGAGATGCCTCTCTGGTGGTGACCACATCAGGAGACCACAAAGCAAAAGTATTTTGTGTCCAGCGACCTGACCGCTAATGGCTGCAGCCTCTGCTTTGTGTCTGGTGTGGAGAGGGTGCAGGGAGACCCCCCACCAGCAGAGACTATCGGGTAGGAAGGAAGAGGAGGGGAGGGGCCTCGGACTACTTTCCAACCCCTTGAAACTGACTTGCCCCCTCTCTGTCCCTTTCTTCTCTTAAGAGACCCACCCTTCAGCCCCTCCCTTCGTCCCTCCCCCTGGCCCAGACCTGGTGGGTCCTTCAGAGGGAGGTTCAGACCTCTTTCTCTTTCACTTCCTTTGCTGGTGTGAGCCATGAGGGTGTGTATTTGTACGTGGGCGGGTAGGTCTGTGAAGTTCCCGTTCTTTCCCTTCCCAAGTCTTTGGGGGTGGAAAGGAGGAAGAGATACTAGTTAACAGATTTTAAAAATGTAAATAAAATATACTTCCCAGAGACAGTATCTGTGTGGATTTTGTGTTGGCTGGACATGGAGGAACCAGTGAGGTCAGGTTGAGGCTCCCCAGAAAATCTGCTGGATTTCAAGGTGCCTCAGCTTTTCCCCCTCAGGCGGGCATCTGTCCTCACAGTTGCCTGCCTGTCTGGAGGCAGAATTCCCTGGGTCCTCACCTGGTCAGCTGTTCTCCTGGCCCTGCCTTGCTGATATACAGAATGAGATAACCATAAAGTGGGCTACAGGAGCTTTATTCAGTCAGGTGGGGTCAAATAGGGGCAGGGTTTCTGGTCCAGAGGCATGGAGACAAGTGGAGATGGGCTTGGAGGCTGAGATGGATGGATGGATGCTTCTAGTAGGAATGAACAGAGGCCCTTCCCCTAGTTCAAGTCGAGGTCCACACTGCTTTGGCTGCTGGTGTGGTAGGCTGTGCTGGGGCCAGGACTGCCCTGGGGTCTTCCCCGCAGCACCCGGAGCCACCTCTGGGCGGCCGCCCTCCAGGGGGCCGTGTAGCGCTGATCACCCAGCCCCATGGCCACGGGCACGGCTGCCGCACTGGCGCTGCCCAGCGAGATGAGGGACAGCAGAGTTCCAGGCCCCAGTGGTGGGCGCTGCTCATAGGCCAGGACGGAGAGGAGCAGGGTAGCCACGTAGGGCCCCCAGCACAGCCCGAACAGCAACGTGGCTCCAGCCTGCGCCCTTGCCTGCCTCCAGGTAAGGGCCCGGGCCAGGGCCGAGGGCGCACCGCGGCACACAGCCCGCTCCAGCCGGCGGATGTCCTGGAGCTGGCGGTGGGCGGTGACCAGCACACGGGCTGAGAGAAGGGCGGCTGCGACCACGGCAGGTAGCAGGAGCCCATAGATTTCGAGGTAGAGGTAGGGGGCTGGGAAGACGGTGTGGGAGCTGCAGTTGGCACTAGGGGCCCAGTGGTTCCAGCCCAGAGCGGGCAGGCTGGCAAAGAACAGAGGGCCAGCCCACGTGAGGAGCAGGGCCAGCCGGGTGCTCCCGCGGGGCCGCAGAGGTCGCAGCACTGCCATGTAGCGCTCCCCATGTACCAGCAGGAGGTTGGCGAGCAGAGAGAGGAAGGAGAAGTTGGGAGCCAAGTAGAGGAAGAGGCAGGACCAATAGCCCAGGTGGCTCTGGTTCCATAGGCCTGGCAGCACGGGCAGTGCCAGCCCCGTGAGCAGCCCCGCCAGCAGCAGGCTCAGGAAGAAGCAGCCAGCGGGCGGGCTGCGCAGGCGGCGGTCCCCGGCAATGCCCAGGGCCAGAAGCAGGTTGGCAGCAACGATGAGGCTTGCCAGGGCCAGGGAGAGCCCCAGGGCCCCCGCAGGAACGGGGCTGGACACCTCCCTGGTGCTGTTGGGTGTCATCTCGGGCCTGGGGACAGGGGAGGCCTGGAGCAGCAGCAGGCATGCCTGAATGGAAGATGGGGCAGCCAGAGTTAGGGTGGGGCCACAGGTCACTGTCCTATCGGCAGGGCTGCACATTAATCCAGAGGTTGCAACTGGACTGGGGGCCATATCCTGTTTGCTGATACACATTTTTTTTTTGGTGAACTGCCAATTAAAATTTACATAAAAATTCATATTTTTAGCTTAAAAATAATCAGGTCTTGCATGGTAGCAACCAGCTGGAGCTGAGTGGTGGCTGCCTTTAGATAGCTCCCCACAGTACCTACCCAGCTACTTTGCCCCTTTCTATTATCTGCCTGGCATGCTCTGGGCAGCTGTTTATGCCTCTGTTTAGACTGAAAAGTGGACCTACCGAGCTCCAAAGCATTTTGATTATCCCTGCCACCACCAGGCAAGGCTTCTAAATAGCTAAAAGAATAGGATGGTTGGTGTGCAGTGGTCCTCCGGCCAGACAACAGTTGATAGCCTCCTTTGGGTGGGGGCTGGGACCAGAGGCTCAGGAGTGGGTGATAAATGGAGAGTGGTCTCTGTCTTCAGATGCAGGCTGGTTGACACCAGCACATTAAGAGATGGTAGGTTGTTAAGGATTGGAGGGTAGGGGCAGGAGTCAGGCTAAGGCAGGGCTCACCGAGCACTTGCGTCAGTGATGAGGCCAGGGCAATGGGTGGCAGCAAGGGGGTGTCCTGTCCTCTGCACCTCCTCTCCATCCGCCTTGTTGCCAGTTACAGCTCAGTGAGCAGCCTCCGGGTAGGACTTCCAGCCCATAAACTTGACTCGTCTGCACCACACTAGCAACAGGGCCCTTCCTGGGAACTGGAGGAGGGGAGGAGTTGTTGGGGGATGGGGAGGGCTGGCAATGACTGGGGAGATACCAGCAACAAGGAGGGCTGAGGAGAGCCCAGAGAGGGAGGAACCGCTGGGCAGGGCTGGACCTCTCTGTGGCTCTGATCTGTCCTAGTCCTCCAGCGCCCCGGCCCCACGGCCACAGGCCACATCGTGGGGATGGAGACGGGGGAGGGGTCCTAAGCCCTGTGGGAACTCCCGCTTCTGTCAACAGGGGAGCAGCTGCTGTTGCTAGGATTAAAGTCAATAAGGAAAGGATTCCTACCTGCCCCCTCCCCCAGGTCAGAGGATCAGAGGGCTAGATCAGACGTTAGAATGCTGCCCCTTCTATCCCCAGCTCCCCTCAGAACTCCCAGTTCAGCTGCGAAGCCACTGCACCCCTTACCCTCCCCTCAGCCTCTGTTTCCTCTTCCTCAATCTCCGCCAGGGTCCTCGGAACATCTTTCTCCAGAAGCCCTCCAGTTTCTGTTCCCCTTCATCCCTGCGCTGTCAACTTTATTAAACCCCATGAGACCTCAGGGTCTGTTACTTCAAACCTGGACTCTGGAGTCGTGGGCTGGAGCTCCCAGTCCTCCCTTGTAGTGAGTCTCCCACTCCACATCCACCGGAGCAGCAAGAAAGGCAGGGTCAGCCCTCAGGGGCGATTGCCCAGCAGTGATATGGGTATGCTGGCTATGTGACTCGCACATCCTAGAGGCTCTGGTGGCTTGGGCTGGGTGCAAGGGCCTCTCAGGACCTGGGACTGAGGTCTCCTGATGTGACCTGGGGACTGGGTGGGGAGGCAGGGAGGAGCTACTCACATGGTTGTGGGGGACAGGTATTTCTCCCCAAGCCTGGGCTTTCCTCTGGGTGTCAGGGAGTTGCCGCGGCCAGCACTGCAGGGGTTCTGGTGATGTCTGGTGTCCTGACCGATGAGGGCATGGTGCCCCTACTCTGCGGGGACAGCAGGGCCCAGGACTCACCACTGCCCCGGCTCTACCCTGCCTGGGTTCCTGGAGGAATGGAGCTGAGGCTGGCAGGACTCAGCCTGGCCCCGCCTCTGGGAGGTGGGACCTGGCACACCCTGAGCTGCAGTACTGGGAGGCCTTCTTCCCCTCTCTCCAGTGCCCCCTCCTTGTCCTCCGGTACCAGGGTCCTCCTCTCCAGCCACAGAACATAGCTTCCCACCAAGGTGGCAGTTCACCCAGCTTGGAGCCCTCTGGTCTGCTACTGCTTAGCGAATCTGAGAAATGCATTCCAGTTAATGAAAAATAATGATTTAGTCTACCCTCTCCACTTCCTGCCCCAGCTAATATATTTACGTTTTATGAGCCTTAAACCCTTGGCGTGGCCAGCCAGCTGACAGCACATCCAGCTCCATAATTCTGCTGCTGGTCTGCTGAGGAGTAATGCATGTCTGATGGTGGCAGGGTAGGGGTGTTTGGAGCCTGAGGATTTTCACTGCCTGCCCCTCTCCCTATCACTTGGTAGGGCCTTTCAGCTAATAAGGCCTTCCAGAAACCGGGGTCATTCCACACTGTTCTCAACTACTTTGAGAGTCAAGTTCTGGGCTATGAGGTAGAAATGGCTCTGTGGGTATGACTTTGGGCAAATTAACTCTGGGCCTCAATTTTCTCACCTGTAAAATGGGAACAAGGGAAACACGCCAGAGTTGTTGTGGGGATTATCTTTGGATAACTGCATACATCCCAGTGCCTCACACCTGATGGGGACAGGGTCTCAACAAATGACTCCCTTCCTCCCTCTTGTATGATTAAGAGGCATGATATCAGCAGTGTTGGTATCAGCAGTCCTGGGTTTGAGTGTCAGAATCCTGGTTGGATGCTATTTTTTCGTCTGTGTAAATTTGAGCAAATTATTAAAATTCTCTTGCCTTAGTTTCCTCATCTGTAAAATGGGGTTCATACTGTCCTCACCTAGTGTGAGACTAAACGAGAAAATGTGTGATAAGGACTTGGGTCAGTTCTTGGCACGGTAACACTCAATGAAAGGGATTTCTGGCCTTCTCTGCATGTCCCTTCCCTCTAGCCACCTGTCCCCTCTAAGAACTCCACTGAGTAAGGCAGATGGAGAGCCTGTGAAAAGCTAGAGGGGAATGACACTTTTGCTCTACAGGGAAATGGAGGAAACTAGGTAGAATGAAAGGGAGGGCAAGTTTAAGGCTAGGAAGCCCCTGATTTCCATCTTGTATCAAGTGCAGCTTTGGAGTGAGGGAGGTAAGCTGTTACACTCGAGGCCTGAAAAGGGAGGCAACAGGCTAAACTGCAGCAAGGGAGCTAGAGGTGAGACATTAGGAAAAACTTCCTTGCTCAAGAGCACAAGTAGGTAGAGCAAGGGGACATCTGCTTTCTCTGGGGGAGACCCGGGCCTGAAGGGCTGGAGGCCTGAGAGGTCTAGCTCTGCCAACTCTGCACAGCAGTCAGAGATCCTGGAGACAGCCTCTGTTGGGACAAACTGTGGGAAGAGGAAAGCATTCAGCTTCAAACCCATCCTCAAGGGAGCTGGTGGGGGGAGGACATTGTGTTCCAGCAGACGGCCCTCAGCCCCATGCTATCTGGTCGGGCAGAAGTCAGAGGCTCTGCAAAAGTTCAGCCTGGAGTCTGGACAGAAGTGGGAGTGGGGCCCCTCAGATACTGGGTTGCTGGGAATAAACAGACTTCTTTCTGTTCCCAGCCCTGGCCTCCTCCCTGCAGGATTCAGGATGTCTGCGTTTCTTCTTTGCTGCTCTGTCTAAACACTGTGTGTGGGATGATGTGTAGAGGGCAACCGAGGGAGCACGAGCTGAGGAGCCTGGGTTCCACCCCCTGCTCAGCCCTGTTTCTTCCTTACTGGATCATCCAGTTCCTCTCTGCTCCACCAGCCCCGGGACTGACTCACCCCCAGCCTTCTCCTCTTTGCCCACAGGAGGGCTCTGGCGCAGGCAGTTTTAAACTGGAAAGAAAACGTAAATTACACTATGCTTTCAAAGTCTCTTGTAATTATTTAGGATATAAACAAAATTTGATTCATCTGTCTTATTCTACTACTAGTCTTTAAATACGTCTTTACCACATTGCATCCTTTCATTCTTCGTAAAAATGGATTAAGTTTAAAAAAAAAAGCTCCACCTAGCTGGTTTTGCAGGCTCAAGTCCCTGTTCTCCTTTCCTCTTTGTAGAGCCTGTGTCACGATGCTTGGGGCATGGCAGGGAATCCACCTGGGCCTCCTTCATCCACTCTGCTCTCTTGAGTATTTAATTTCTCTCTGCTGACCCTGGATGTATGGGACTGGGTGGTGCGGAGAAGGCTGGGGGTCCTCACTGACTAGATGAGCAGGGGCAATGGGTCTTCCTGGACCCTGGTGACTTCCTTGAACTGTTCAACACTCTCCATAGGCAACAGCTGATGAGCTCTTGGAAGCCTCAGAAGGGCTCTAGGCACAATCCTGTGACTGAGGCTGGCCAGGACCCTGGCTTCAGGAAGCTGTAGGTCAGCTATATGGGCTGAAGAAACTGTGGTCCTTACTGTCAGGGCTCAACAATAGATTCTCCAGGTCTCCCCAAGTCACAGAAAGTGCAGTGCTTTCAGCAGTTCCCAGAAGGGGGCAGCACTGCTTGAACAAGACAGTCCTCAGAGCAGACCCAGGCTTGGGTCATATGCCTCTGTAGTTGCCAGGATGACGGTCCATCAGGCCTACTTCACATGAGACGGACTGAAGGAAACTGAAATGGTAACTGCTGAGTATCAGCTCCGGGTAGGAGGGCTGATGCAGCAGCCAGCGTCACTTCCTCTTCCTGGCTTCAACTTCCTGCCATCTGGCCCCACACTCACTTCTTGTTACAGTCTTACTTGCTTTCCTGCCAAACTCCTGGTTCTTAGCCTGCACAGATCCCACTTTATCCAGACACAGAGAGTCCCACCAACACCCTCCTCACTGGCTGCTGCAGTTTAAGGGCCACCCAAGCAGGGGAAAAATACCAGCTTTTGTGGGGAGGATCCAGAAAACCAAAAAACAGAATCACCTACATTGGACCTTGCTTCCTCAGCAGTCCTGGTACTTCTGATCCCCTTGAGTATACAGAGATGGATCTAAGATTTATTAGATGACATTATCAATTGTAATTATAGGCATTATAAGTGCCTACAATGTGACAGGCACTTATCTGTTCTCCTTTTAAGAGCCTTGTGAGACAGGTGGTGTCATGTCCAACTAAAGATGAGGCTATCGGGGCTCAGATTAAGAAATTTGCTCAGTCTAAGCGGTAGAACCTGATTCAATCCCAAGTCTGTTTTAAAACACTGTTTTCCACCTCTCCAGCTTATATCCAAGGTCGCCTATACCTCCCAGGCATGGACCTTCAGACCTTCAGGCAAGCGAGCCAATTAGCAGTAATTGAGACTAGAGCCCCACACCACATCCCCTCAGCGTGCTGACCCTCATCTAACCCCCCTCGTCCTACAATCCTATGGACTTTGGCTGAAGTTATAGTGGGCCTTTGTCCACAAAGTGGAGGGAGGGTCCTTGAGACTAGAGCCACACAAATACCAGTGTGTCTGGCAAACAGGTGAAGACAAAGGAGCAAGTCTGGAGAGTGGTTTTCACCAGCATGGGTTTTATGCTGACAGTCTTGGTATTAAGACAGCTCCTTAGGATTTACTGCTGTAAAAAATATTTAATGCCTTTTTTCTCCTAATTCCGTATTTTCTAAGCAACTTTGGTTTGGCCATTTATAGCACTTTTCAGAAATCTGACCCCCACTACGGCAAACTTACTAAGGAGTTACAGTCTAAAGTCAGCAAGAGAACAAAAACAGCTTCTAGCCAAAATTACCCTTTCAAATCCCTTAAATAAATAAATAGCTCCTGGGGGTACAGAACACATCTATGTCACCATCTCTTGCTTTATCTAATTTAGCCCAGTTCTCCATCCACCAGAAGTAGGTGACGAGGGACCTCATCCAAGAGAACACTGGGCCGACTCGGCGCAGTGAACTCTTTGCCCTGGAAGCCACAGTCAGCCCCACCAAGGGGACAGCACTCTCCAGGGCACGTTAGTTGAGGCAATGGGCACATAACCGCACATCCTGAGCTCTCTAAGAGCTCGTTTATACAACGTAAAGTGAAGCCTGGATGACTACAATGACCTGCGGCTTTCACATTTCTTGAGTATGACGCATAGTAAAAAGACATTTTTACAATCTAGTCAAGATATGTCTATTAACTAAAACATGCTTCAAAATCGATACTTACCCTCATTAAGTGCGACACACTCTGATTAGTCTATACTGTTACCACTGGGGGAACCTGGGTGAAGGGTACACAGGATTTCTGTACAATTTCTTATGATTGCAGTGAATCTATAATTATCTCACAATAGTTTAGGAAATAAAAATGTCAGGAGATTTAAATCCATTAATAGGTCTCAAACCAGTCTGAAACACACTAAACTTGATGGAGACAAATTAAAAGAGAAAGCAGAAGGTAGGAACCACCAGGGTCACCCTCAGACGATTCCAGATGTCCCTAAGCTCTTTTCCAAGCAAACTCTCTGAATCAACTGTATTTTAGGGATCAGTGGGGACAACTTACCTTGCTAGGCTCTGTGATGTTTATTAGGTAAGTATCCCTCAAAGTGAGTTTCACAGAGGGCCAGCCTTTTGGGCTGTTGTGTGAAAAAAGACACTGTGGCCAGCTGTTTGCATTAGACCCACAATGTCCTGCAGAACCACACACAGCATGGAACACATTTGGGGAAAATGCTATACATTTTTCATGATAAAATAACAAGCTAGAAAACACTTTAGAGAGCCTGGCACTGTCCTTGGCCATTGGGAGCTTCTTGGCCACAGCTGGACAGACTTAGTAACCAAGCTTTATAGTGAGCATGTTCAAGTGTACTCGGAAATGCCAACCAAGAGCTCACCAGAGGGCCACTCTCTCTTCTACAGGGAGGCTGGGGGGCCCCCGAACCTAAGCTTTTCCAGTGCAGGTCTGCAGGTTCAGGGGCAGTACTGGTGTACCCTTCACCCTTCCTCCACTCTTTTGGACTCATGGTCCAGAAACCCAGTGAATTCTCACGTAAGATAGAAAGATTTTCTTTATTAATGACCCCAACCGTATTTCTTCAGATACAGGAGTTTTGAACTCAAATACTTAGGAGAAAACAAGTTAAAATTGCATTATCCTGCAACTCATTACCAGTAACATATTGCAAAGCGAAATAGCTTGGAAAAGTGGGGGAAGGAAAGAGGAGTGAGGGAGGGAAGATAAAGAAAAGGAATTAAGTTGATCAAGTGGAATTCTTTTTTTCCTTTTTTTTTTAATTCTTGAGAACCATGAAGTCCTTGCAAGCACAGCTCATTTTCGCAGATTATTTTCCAAATGTGTACAAAATGGAACCAAAACGGAGAATCCCTTAAGAACCTGAAGAGGTGCAACAGTAAAAGCTACGATTATCCAGTAGCAAGTGTTCCAGCCTTCAGTTGCCAGCCGCTTCCTCTTCCCGTTCCCAAGAGTTAGCGGGATGAAAACGTCTTCCCCCTTCAAAAGCAGAGAGTAGGTGTGAAGGCTAGTTTCTGCTCACCTTTCCTTTTACCACACAACCTGGGCGAGGGATGGGATCCGGAAGACAGCAAACATGAAGTGGCAAGGTTCCCCAGGCAGAGGTATGCAGGAACTCCAAGCACGGGCCAAGAGCCGGCTTTCACATAAACATCTCATGAGCTCTTTCTCCTTGCTGAATACTTTGGAGTACCAAGTAATATCTGTGCTAAGCCCACGAGGACAGTAAATGTACCAAGTCAGACAGGAGAATCACGAGCCCACAATTTCTGGATGGCTCTGATCCACTCAAGCTTCAGACTGGGCTCAACCCTCAACCTAGGAAACAATTCATGGCCCTCCTACACAGGTTATACCTTTTCAGGCTAGCAGATAGCAGTTCCTAAAATCTTTGACCATGGGGGCAGGATGTTCACAGAGGTAACCCTCCACTCTCAAGGTTAAAGGCGCTTTGTATTGTGAAGTGGTAACGATACTCGGTCACAGAACACTTGCCTGACTTAAGGCTCCTGAGCCATGGAGTCCTATTCCACCCAGTATTTCCCCAGAAGGGCCACCTTTGGGAACAGGCTGGTTCCCAAAGATAGAGGGTGTGCATTTGGTAAAGGTGCCTGGAAGCTAGAGTTAGAACTATGGGAAATTGGGGCAAAAATATGGGGGCTAAAGTTTTTTGCCCTGAGTGTTTCACCCAGACCAAAATGAAACAAAAATATTCTGTTACTCACCACCCAGTAAAAAACTCCTAAGTATTCGATTCTG